CTCTCGAAACCGGGGGAACCGGCTACCTTGCCACGACCGGAGAGACCAGATCCCTTGCTGGTGGCTGGCGGTGTCCCCTGGGCCGTGCAGGTAGCTTAGTGACCCCGCTGCCGCCTCGCCCTGCCCTGCAACCTGCTTCTGAGTCGTGTTTTTTTTCTCTTTTTGCCTGGCTCCCCCTACTCCTTGCCCAAGGTAGGGAAGCCCAGCAGGAGCAAGCACAACACACTGCCCGGCGGCACCCTGCAGATCCGCTCCCTCGGCAAGGATGACCATGGCGAGTGGGAGTGCATCGCCACCAACGTCGTCGCAAGCATTACTGCCAGCACCCACCTTACTGTCGTAGGTACGGGCAGGGGACGGGTCCCCGGGGACGGCCGGTGGCGGGTCCCTGGGTAGGGTCCCCCAGGCAGCGTGTCGGCAAGGCAGGAGGTGGGGATGCTTCCTGTGAAAAGCAGTGTCTCCTTTAAATCTTACTTACTAGTGGCGCTGCCTTTTTCTGCTCTGTTATTTTGGCCACCTGTGGACGCACTGTCCTGCTGCTATTTTTAGCAGGAATTCCAGGCGGCCTTTGCTTGGTGCAAGGGGAGTCCTCTCAAATCAGGGCTGGGAGCAGACCCCTTCCAGCCCCCTTGCCTTTGCCGGCCAGCGCGTGGTCTTGCTCTTCTTCAGCCGTCCCTCTCTCTTCGCAGGCACAAGCCCTCACGCCCCGACCAGCGTGCACGTTGTGGCTGCCATGACCTCAGCCAATGTCTCTTGGGAGCCCGGCTACGACGGTGGATACGAGCAGACTTTCTCAGTTTGGTACGGCCCTCTGTGAGTCATCCCGGCATGCTTTGCTCTCTGCTTCTTTTCCTTTCTAGCCGACCCGAGCTTCGAGCAGCTGGGGGGAGGAGGGTGGCGAGGGCAGCGTGCCCGGCTCGGTGCCCACGGGCATTGCGGGGCTGAGCTCCCGTTCGGTGCCTTGGAGAGATGGGTGGTGGTGGGATCATGTAGTTCCCATGTTTCCTCTCCCTTCTGTGCTAGCCAGTACCTCTGTCTGCCCCAGCAGGTTTTGTTCTGCTTATGGTGCAAGGGAGACGCTTTGCATTCATGTAACTTTGCCTCTGGCATCTAATTTCAAGATAAACTGTTTATGAAGCTTAACAGCCAGGGAGAGGATGGAAAATGCAACCTTTATAGAGTGCGTCCTGGAAGAGCTGTGACTAAGCAGAAATGATCTCTCCTTGCTCTGTGGCTCCCCAGAGGTGCTTAAATCCCAGCTGAGTTCACGACCAGCCACTGTGAGATGCTGGCCGGGTCTGAGCCTCGTGGGGCTCCGCTCCTATTGCCTCTGTGCTACCCGGTACCCAAAGCCAGCGGGTGCATCCCGCCTTCCCGCAATGGGGCCGGGCTCGGCCCTGCTGGCTTTCCCCTGGGGTAAGGGAGGGTGAAATGTAGCTGTAGCGAGGTCGGGATTTTCTTTGGGCTCTGCGCTTGCTCTTCTCTTCCTCTTCTGAAGAGCCATCCTTGCAAACGTGGAGGGGATGGCGCCTTCCCTTCCCACTTCTGGGGCTGGCATTCTTCAGCCTTTCTTCTCATTCTCTCTTTCCTTCCTTGCCTTAATTTGCCCTGATGGAGACTGCTGATAGAGTGGAGATAGGGTAGACCCTGCTTGTAACGATTTCTGCTCTGCTCCAGCCCGGGGCTGTCAGGAGATGGAAGGAATGGAGAGAGCAGAGGGGGAAAATGAGGGAGCGAGCAGAGCGGTGCAGACCTTGCTCTGATGAAAACGTCCTTGGGAAGGAGTGGTTAAACCTCTCTGCTCTGGAGATGTGGCTCACCTTGGAGGGGGATGGCAGCTGCTGCTGCTCTTGCTCTGCAACCTGCTGCCAGGTTCCTGCCTCCTCGAGGCTCTCCCAGACCCCACACCGGGGAGAGCAGCCAGCGGCAGAGAGGGGCGTTTGCACCAGGCTTGCCTTAGGGAATTTACAGGGTGCTGTGGGGACCTGGGATAGGGAGGCAGAGACCCGTCTTGCCCTGACTGTAGGGCGTGAGCCCTGGGGGCTGTGCTGCTCCTTGGGACCAGGGATCTGGGACGGTGCTGAGTCATCTAGTGCTGTCCGGAGAGCTGGACATCCGTGCGTTTTCCTCCCTGCTGTGGCTATGGGATGCTCAAGCAAAACATGGCTTTGCCTCCTGTGGAGTTCATGCTCTCCTCCTGCTTCTGCGGTGGTTGATGCTGGAAATGCAAACCCGGCTCCGCGGGGGCGGCGAGGGCCACCACAGCATCCCGCCTGCATATGTGCTCTCCTTCGGCAAGGGCGGGCTCCCGTCCCCGGGGGCGATTAGTGCTGCATTTACCCTCCGCTCTCCCCACCCTCAGCCCCTTGCCGTTGCCTGCCTGCCTGCAGCAGCGCTGGGGAGAAGGGATGCGAAGGCGGTGGGGTTAAATGCCGCAGGGAAACCACCCGCTGCGGGCGGCGGGGCTGCTCCTCTGCCTTCCATGGCTCTGCTGCGGCAGCGGGGGATCCTGGGAGCTGTAGTCCCAGCCAGAGCCGCGGTGATACAGAGACTTTCCTGCCTGCAGCCGCTCGGTTTGGTGGAGGCACACTGCACATGCATGGCTCTCCGCCGACTTGCTTGTTTCCATAGCTTGCTGCTGCTTCTCCTGCCTCACCTTTTGCTCCCTCTACAGTGGCATTATTTGTCTTTGCTCCATCTTTTACCTCCTACTTGGTGGATTTACCTGGCTGTAGGCCAGTGGCTACAGATATACCCACTTATCTATGCAGAATAGACCGTCTGCAGTAATCCTTCCCAAATCCTCTGCGGACACCACCGAAACCTGCAGCCAAGGGCTGGGACTCCCTAAAGCATCTCTCTAACGTTAGCGCCGATACTTGCAGTATCATTGCAGCGCGGTGATGCTGCTTCGGGATATGGGGCTCTTTCACCGTGGTGCTTCCCGGCAGGGTTATGGGTGGAGGTGGCTGCACGCTCACGTGTACTGGGGTCGCACTGGGACGGCTCTGGGAGCTTCTTTCGCCCTGGGTTTGTGGGTTAGACCCCAGCAGAAAGGCTGTGTCCCGCGTTGCCCCCAGGTGCCTCCGCTGCTCTGCCAAACCCCGAGTTGTGCCCTGGGCTGTGCTGGCAACCCCTGACTTGTGCAAACGTGGCAAAAGTGGTGATTTAGTTAAATGTCTCTTGTGGGATTGCATGTACAGGGCTACAGCCGAGGGAAAACTTGGCTCTGGCTCGGGAGCTGTCGAGGTATAAATGGGAACAGGGCCCATCTCCTGCTCCAGCTGTCCCCTTTGCAGCACCCACCGAAGTAAAAATGTGCCAGCTTCCACTTTTGCCCATGGGAATCTGATGGCGATAACCTCAGAGCGGGGCTGTTGGCACTGCTTTTGTCCCTGACCCTGCTCAGAGGGTGCAGGCAGTGCACGGCGGAGGGGAGGGCTGGTGGCAGTGTCCGTTTGAGCTGGGGGATGCTGGTGTGGCACAACAGGACGGTGCCCCGTGCCTGGCAGTCCTCGTGCGTACCGTCCCCGAGCCAGCTCTTGGGTGGCGAGTGGCTGCCCCACGTCCATACACATCGCTGCTGTCAAACCAAACCATCGCTCGGGAAAGCTCCATTTTTGCTTGAGAAGTTAATGCTGCCTCTTTGTCCTCCCCGTCAAAGGCACCTTTCTTGAGGATGCTCCCTTCTCTCTCGGCAGGATGAAGAGAGCCCAGTTTGGCCCCCACGACTGGCTATCTCTCCCTGTGCCAGCTGGTTCCAGCTGGCTACTGGTGGATACCTTGGAACCAGAGACTGCGTACCAGTTCAGTGTCTTGGCTCAAAACAAGCTGGGTACCAGCTCCTTCAGTGAGGTGGTCACTGTGAACACTCTAGGTAGGTCCTCCATGGGCACAAGGGGAGGAGGGGGAAGGGATTCAGGAGGTCCGTGGGGAGAAGTGGTCCTTTGCCTTGGTCCATGTGTCCTATCTGCTGGGGACGGAGATGGTGATCGGCAGCGGTAGTTTCCAGCCGCGTAGATGATGTTTCATCCAGGACCCCCCACGAACTTTGTAGACTTTGCTGGATGCATGAGGCTCCTGAAGGCTTGTCCTGAGAGGCAGCGTGGGAGAGCTGTACTGTACCAGTCACCTTTCAGATCTTCCTTAAGTTCAGCTGGGGTCAGGAGGTATTAATAGAGCACAAAATCACTTGTCTGCAGCTCAGAGCAGGAGCTAACACAGAGGGCCTTGCGCTGGTACCTGCCTTGGGGCTGTCTCGGGCAGAGGTGGGAGGAAGCAGGAGGTTTTCTAACGCTGTGCCCCTTTTCTTGGAGTCACTGCATTGTTAGTCCCCTGCTTTTTGGAAGGCCACTTTTATGCTCTCTTATCTGAAATACACGTCTGAGACATGCCCTAAACTCCCGGAAGGTGGGAACTGCCGTGGTGGTCCGTTTGGCCGCCGATGGGGCACGTGTGGGAGAGCATCCTCGGCGCTTCCCATCTCAAAGGTGTCCCTGTCCCATCTGCTCTGTCTCCAGCATTCCCTGTAACAACTCCAGAGCCTCTGGTGTTGGTTACCCCACCGAGGTGCCTAACAGCCAACCGGACACAGCAAGGCGTCCTCTTGTCGTGGCTTCCTCCTGCTAACCACAGCTTCCCCATTGACCGCTACATCATGGAGTTCCGCGTCGCAGAGAGGTGGGAGATCTTGGACGATGGCATCTTGGGGACCGAGAATGAGTTTTTTGCCAAGGACTTGTCCCAGGTAAGCAGGGGCTGCCCACACCATACCTCTGGTGTTGCACTGTCTGCTGCAGCTCTGGGGAAGCTTTTGGGGTGGCTCGGTCCCTGTGCTGGGGCCTTCAAGGAGCTGGGCAAGGTTGGAGGCTGCAGTAGGGGACCTGACGGATGTGCTTGGTGTTTCAGGACACCTGGTACGAGTTCCGGGTCCTGGCGGTCATGCAGGATCTCATCAGCGAACCCAGCAACGTTGCTGGCGTGTCCAGTACAGGTAAGGGGTGGCTCCTTCTTCTACCCCCAGCTGTGGGAGCATCTCTGCTTGTGCAGGTGCCTGAGCTAGCACTCAGGACATGCATCAGTACTTGCTTACGACAGCGATGGCTGTGCTTTTGCCTGAGACGCTCGGTCTGTGACCTGGGCTGACGGACGCACGGTTACGATCAGTGTCTTGGGCACGCTGCTGGCCCTGTGCCGCCTCCCGATGCAAATGGACCAGGGGCACTTGGAGCAGGCAAGGACAAACAGCCCTATTTAGTCCTTCCCGCAGAGTGCAGCGTTGTCGGGTGTCCACCGGCGCAGAGTGGCAGCACATCTCGGCTCTGCAGGGTGCCCAGAGAACAAAGCTCCGACCGGGCAGTGCGCAGCCTGGAAATGGGAATGAAAGGTGCAGAGAGGGAAACATAGCACTGCAGTGCAGAGTCCAAGGGGAAAAAAGCTTTGTGACAGGAGACTGCAACACACTGCAGCTCGTGCATGTGCCCTGCACCCCCGTCCAGCTCAGAGGATGCTCCTCGAGCAAGGGACAGGCGAGGGTACGTGATTGCGATGGGGAAGGCAAGGGCAGCAGGAGGAGATGGGGATGCAGCGAACCCTGCTTTTATGGCTCTCGTGGAAAAGCCGAGGAGCCACCCAGCTCTGCTGCGTGCAGGAATCTCTGCCCCCAAGTGGTGCCGGCGCGGTGCGGAGAGCCTGCCTGCTGCAGGCTGCCTGCTTGCCTGCCCTTGCTCTTCTCGCACAATTTTTCTGATGGGGTTTGGCAAAGCCCACAGGGTGTGTGTGCGTGCGCCCCGGCCCCAGGCAGCTGCCCTCCCAGGCTGAAAGCCGGTGCTCCCGGCAGGCGAATGCGCGCTGACCCTGCTTGCGAGTGCACGGCAGGAGCGCTGGTGTGTGCAGGGTTTGCATCTGCAAATGGCCGCAGCTGAGGTCTGCTGGTGGTTCGGATGCGCTTGTGGTTAGGGAAGGGGTACGATGAGGGTTCGGAGCCCAGTTTTCATTGAAGAGCTGAAGTATGTTGCACTGATGCACAGGGGAAAATACCTTATGCTGCTACAGCCTGAGCTGCGGCGGGTTATCGGGCCGGGAGATAACTGCAGGTTTGGGGCACTTGTGTGCGCTTGTACATAAATGTGTATTTGTGTGGTGTGGAGGCTTCTTCCCTGGGGGGTCCATCAGTGAAGACATAAAGGTTTATCTGGTGTGAGGTCGCTAAATCCCTTGGCAGTGGCCTGCCGCAGTGCTGACTGCTCTCCCCAGGTGGGCTGGGTTGGAAGCAGGGTCTTTACTTAGAGATTATCATTCCTGGTCCCAGTTGCCTTCGTGCTGTGGTAGGTCCCCGGGGAATCCTGGCAGCGGGCAGGGGTGTGTGCATATCACCTAATTGTTGTGTTTTTTTTTCCCCCCAGACGTATTCCCTCAGCCTGACCTGACAGACGAGGGTCTAGCCCGCCCAGTGCTGGCTGGCATCGTTGCCACCATCTGCTTCCTGGCTGCTGCCATCCTCTTCAGCACACTCGCCGCCTGCTTCGTCAACAAGCAACGCAAACGCAAGCTCAAGCGCAAGAAAGGTGAGCCCGTCCCCGGTGTGCTTCCTTCCTCCCTCCTGCCACCTCCTCATTTCTCCTCCCTGGTTGTGTTGTGGTGGTAACCTTCTTCCCTGTCTGTCTCTTCTTCCATCCGTGCGCGTCCTCAGGTGAAGCCCTGACTTCATCCCTCGGCTGTGCCTGAAAGCGCCCGTGGTCGGGAGCGGGAGAGGCAGGGTGGGTGAAGAGGCGACAGAGAAACTAGCCTGGGATTTCCGAGGGAGCGCTCTCGCGTGGTGATAACTCCTAGAGCCGGGGGTTTAGGGCTGGGGTGTCCTCTGGGCCAGAGATGGGGGGGACCGCTCACCTCCTTGAGGTCCCCCCGGAGCTGGGCTCTCCAGCTGCTTCCTGCCCAGCTCTGCCCAAGCCGGAGCGGGCAGTGCCCGATGGCCGTGCTAGGCTAGAGAAGACCCCCGCAAAGGAGACCCTGCCGCTCTGCCTCCCAAAAGCTGGGACTGCAGCTGCCATGCAGGAGCGGCCGGTAGGGAAAAGGGCGGCTGGGGAGCCGGAGAGGGCAGGGGAATCGGCTCCTTCTCTAGCCTGCGAGACTGCGGCAGCAGGACGGGCAGGACCCTGTGACGGGAGCTGTTTGTTGTCAGCAACCATTAAAGCACTGGAGCAATGAAACCTTGGCCTCTTGTTGAGTGTCTTTTGTTGTCTTGATGTTGAGTTTGTCTTGTCTCTGTCGTGTTGCGCCTCCTTAGTGTTCTCTCTTCTTTCCCCTTTTTATTCTCTTCCAGACCCTCCTCTCTCGATAACCCACTGCAGGAAGAGTTTGGAGTCCCCGTAAGTATCTGTCTTGGATGCAGCACCAGGCTGTGGGTCTTCAAGGTGCCTCCTTCCTACAGCTGTTGCAAGGCTCAAACGGAAATGTCTGACCTTGTTTGGTTGCTTCTGACGAGTTGTTTGGGGTGTTCTCTGAACTTGTGGGAACAAAACGGTTCACAAAAGACAAACGGGCTTTGGAGCAGAAAGCAGCAGGGACAAATGCGGCAAACTTTAAGCTAAGAGATGACCCTGTTTGATCTGTGGGCATTGACCAAAGCTGGAGTTGACTGTGGAACTCAATTACACACCCAGCTTGAAGGGGCTCCTTAGGAGAAGGGCTAGCCTGCTGTGTATGGAGTCCTTCATGCAAGCTCAGTGTAGTTTTTGAGTTATTCTCTGTTGGCTCTGGTTTTTCTTGGGAAATTCACTGAATCTTTCACCTATATCTTTTCTTTTCCCATGAAGAGTGCCCCGCTGAAGCCTCTTTCCACATGTGTGCAAAGGTGGTGGATTGTGGTGCTGCAGTAGCCACAGCTCCTTGCAGAGCCCATCAAAAGCATGTATAGCCGCTAATGAGCGGGAGCATCTTCCCAATGTGAGCGCAAGAATCTGAGATGTGGACGCCTCATGCTTTGGCTCCTGGACCGTTGCAAAGTGTCCTGGTGCTGGTGGACCTTAATTTTGCTTTTTTTCAGTTCGTCCACTTGCACTGAAATAACCGTGCCTGCACTGTCTCTGTTGGATCTGCTACCTTTTGCCTTTCAATACTGTTTGTCCGAGGCTTTCTGGATAGGGATGAGTGAACTATTCGAAAAAAAAATGCCTTTTGAGGCTCTCAGCCTTAAGTTTGAGTGTTGAGAATGGGGGGAAAAAGTTGGTCTGAAATGATCCATCAGCATCTCCAAGTGAGATGCTCGAGTTCTGCGGGAGGGGGATGTTTGCCTGACGTCCCTCCTCTCGGGGGCTTTCCCGGGTGTGGATAGCTCAGGTTAACGTAGGAAACCTTTGAAGGAGTTGGAAGTGAGCTCTGGATCTGTCTTTTGTCCTGCTGGGGCTGTGGAACTTGTTGCAAGGCGCTGGTGGAGCTTGTTGTAGGGTATTGGTGTGAGCTGCCCGCCCAGGGGAGGATGCTGAGTGTGCTGAGCTCCGCTCCCGAGGAGCGGGGATAATGTGCGCCGCTGCTGATTCTCTGGCCTGTGCCGTGGCCGGGCAAGACTGCTGTCCTGGTTAGCCCCTGCAAATTCCTCCCAGCGGTTCCTCTTTTGAGAGCTGGTAGCACTTTTTTCTGGATCCGGCCAGCGGTTCTTCTGGGCGAGAAGACCTCCTTTCACCTCCGGGTGACTGTCCCCTCTCTCGGTTTTTCTCCCCTGTGGTCCAGGTTGTCTTCCGGCAAGGTGAGTCCCGAGAGCATCCGCACGCTCCGTCCCCCCTCGGAGTCCTCGGACGACCAGGGCCCACAGGCCAAGCGGATGCTGAGCCCCACCAAGGAGAAGGAGCTCTCCCTTTACAAGAAGACCAAGCGAGCCATCAGCAGCAAGAAGTACAGCGTCTCCAAGGCAGAGGCCGAAGCCGAGGCCACCACCCCCATCGAGCTCATCAGCCGCGGGCCGGACGGCCGCTTTGTCATGGACCCGGCGGAGATGGAGCCCTCCCTGAAGACACGGCGGATCGAGGGCTTCCCCTTCGTGGAGGAGACGGACATGTACCCCGAGTTCAGGCAGTCGGATGAGGAGAACGATGACCCCGTCGTCCCCGCCTCCGTCACCGCCCTGAAAGCCCAGCTCACCCCTCTCTCCTCCAGCCAGGAGTCCTACCTTCAGCCACCAGCATACAGCCCCCGGCTCCACCGGGCGCTGGAGGGTCCCGGTCCCCGGCAGGCCACCGGCCAGGCCCGCCCGCCGGCCCCCCGGGCTTTCCACCACCAGTTTTACGGTTACCTCAG